CAAAGAGAAAGCATCTCCTAGTTGTTATTGATTTTTTTTCCTTAAATTTTTTTTTTTTTTATGATAAGTGTACTGTTTCCTTGTTCTGTAGAAACTTAATCTAACGAGAAATAAATAGAAAGTCTATATGGAGTCCAAAGTTGAATCAAGGAGGAATATAAAAGTTGTTATTGATGCTTTTACTAAGTTTGTTAAACTCCTTCCCGTAAATACCACTAGTACAAGAGAAGCGCGAGATGCGTTGAGTAAATATAATATTTTGATTTCTGTAGTCGATCCCATAGGATTATATCTGGTAAACCACCTTTTGTCAATTGCGAGACATTGAGCACAAAAAGGTAGCCACTGGAGCCCCACAAGTTAATGGCCAGGTAAAGCGAGTAAGCCGGGTATTAACGCCAATGCTAGAGAAATTATCAGAACCTCTTAGTCAATCCGATTAATACAAATTACTTAATAAAGTGGAGTATGTTCACAGTACTACCCAAGTAGCGCCTAGTGTCTTATTGTTCGGAGTAATACAAATAGGACCTATAGTTGATGAGCTTTCTGAGTGCTTAGATAATAAATTGAATAGTGAACCTCGAAATATTAAAAGCATCCGAAAGCACGCACCAGTCAATATTCAACATTCCCAGAAGAGAAATGAAGAATCCTATTGCAAGGAGATTATGTGGCCATAAGAAAAGTAGATACTTCAGTAGGAATTAATAAGAAGTTTGCCCCTAAATACCGTGGGACCCATAAGATAAGCTGTGTATTTGATAATGACCGATATGAAGTTTTTGATGTTGATGATTGCCAGCTAACTTAATTGCAGTTTAAAAGGATTCTTGAACCGGCTAGACTTAAGGGGGATATACATGTAAACGGTGAAAATTTAGACATTTTTCGTGAATTTTTTAATGTAGGAAATAGTCAAGCAATTTTCGTGAAACTTTGCAGATAGTTAAACGTAGAATCGGAGATAATAAAATAAATTTGTTATAAACAATATTTTAAAAAATGGCGGAAAATATGCCGCAGCGCCTCAAACGTTGAGTTTCCCGGCTATGGACACGATAGAGAACATAATTTGTGTTGTAAATCCTCAAATAAAAATTTTTTGTATTCTTTACACCTTTACCTTCTATTTGAACCTAAAAAACCAAAAAGAAATTATGACAAAAAAAATTAAATTTAGTTTTGAAGGGAAAAATGCTATTTTCAGGAAATCAGATCTCACTTCCCACCCTCTTAAAAAATGGTAATACTAATTTTTATTACCCCCAAGTAGGTTCAAATAGAAGATAATTTCATGCTGATCATAATAATTTTTGATTCTCTAGGGATGTCGAAAATATATCAAAATTATTATTATTGCAAGACGTTGATGCACTATGTACAGTACATATCAAGTGGAACTTGCGACACCAAGCACGTGCTTGTTCTGTTTGCAATTAGTAAACGCGAAGGACTTAAAAAAAGGATGCGGGGAGACTACTACTGGCGTACTGCCGGATTGGTTGCTTGCAAGCGTAAGTAGGTTAAGATTGACGTTTTTAGTTTTGGGAGGCTATCAACGTTAGATATTATTGTGTACAAATCGTTATAATTTGCACAGAGGATGTCAATATATCGATATTTTTTGCGAAAAAATAAATATTTTTATCGTTATATATTTTTTTAATAATTATCATTTATCATCGATATTTTTTTGAGATTTTTTTGATATTTTAAGCGGTCACACTTTTTATCGGGACAAGGAAAGAAAACATGTTTTTGTTATCTCTCATATAAGATACTGTTAAAGCCTTAGTTCGGCGGAAAAAATGAAACTGAAACTAAAACAAGAAAGGAAGCTAACTTCGGCACGCCGGAGTTTGTATACCCTTGCAGATATTAGTTCATTACACTTTACCTGTTTATGTTTACAGTTTGACAGTTACAGTTTTGCATTCCCAGCTTTACATTTTCTCTAAGTCTACCGATCGTTTCTATGGCAGATGAAAATACGTTGAAAAACAACGAAGATATAATTTTTTTCTAGTAAGTTCCCGATCGTTCCTTTGGCAGCTATAAGATATAGTTGTCCGATTTTCATAAACCTTATACAAAAATTCTGAAATAATATAAAATGGCCATATCACAAAAATGATGGAAAAATTTTGAAAAGCAGCCAAGTTAGATTTTTTTTAATTAATTTTTTTTTATATAAAATAAATTTTTGTTCTGACTTGGTTTTAATATAAATACAAGCAAATGAAAGTAAAAATAAATATTATTTTGTTTCATTTATAAATAAATATAAAATAAAAATCTAAAAATATAATTAAAGATCGTATGTGGGTTAATGTTTAGTGGTTATTGCTTAAGCAACTTGAAATTAAAAAAAAAAAAAAAAAAAATAAAAATAAAAATATCAAAAATATTTGATATATCGATATTTTTTCTGATATATCAAATATCATTTTAATATTTTGTTTCAATAAGAGATATCATCGATATCAACAAAAGCGAAGCACTTTCTATGCATTTGTATAACCTTGTAGGGTATTATAATTTAAGTCAAAAGTTTGCAGCACATTGAAGAAATAGCTCCCCTATAAAGCATTCACATCCTATATTCTTGATCAGCATTACCATTCGGAAAATTTTTAGACAAAAAAATAAATGATTACTTATAAGACGGACGGACAGAGGGACTCGGCTTTTGCTGCTGGTCAAGATTCTAATTGTTTATAGAATCGGAAATTACTCTATTACTGCGTTGCAAACTTTCGACCATACCCTGTAAGGGCAAATAAATAATTATAACATCTACTTTGAGACATAGCCATTTTTTATTATTTCAGAATTTCTGGTTTATGTATATTGGCCGACTGTGTCATTTAGCTTCAATTGGAACGGTCCGGAAATCAAAAGAAACTAACTTCGCTGTATTTCAACATGTTTATACCCTTGCAGGGTATTATAATTTCAGTCAGAAGTTTGCAACGCAGTGAAGGAGCTCTTTCCGACCCTATAAAGTATATATATTGATCAGCATCAACAGCCGAGTCGATCCAGCCATGTCCGTCTGTCCGTCCGTCTGTCCGTTTCTACGCAAACTAGTCCCCCAGTCCCTCACTGCTATATATGTCGGAACGGGCCAGATCGGACGACTATATCATATACCTGCCAAACAAATGTTCAATACATTTTTAGAAAAAAATTATAACTTGACTGTTTTTCAACATTTTTGCACCATTTTGAGATATGGCCAATTAATATTAATTCAAATTTTCTGTTTTAATTTTATGAAAATCTGACGACTATACCTTATAGCTGCCATAGGAATGATCGGGAAAATAATAATACAAAAAATTATAACTTCGTTGTTTTTCAACGTATATTATTCTACTCTGAGCTTTTGTTATTATTTCAGAATTTGGTATACATTTTATGGAAATCGGATAACTATATCATAAAGCTGCCTTAAAAGCGATAGGTAAATGTAGAGAAAATGTAAAGCTGGGAATGTGAAACTGTAACCGTCAAACTGTAAACATAATAAGTATAGGTAAAATGTAATTAAACTCTGTTTTGTGTGTGGTAGGCTAGATACACATTAGGCCCGCTGTACAATGTATTAGCATAGGATCAGTATGAAGCCCATTGTGCCGAAGAGGCATACAAGATAAAATCCCCGTTAGAGTTAAGTATAATACTGTCATCTCTGTCTATCTCGCACATTAGCATTAAGGGATAAATATATACACCTATCTCGCTTACGCATCGAAAGGTATAAGTAGAGGAAAAGAAATGACACCGCGACATTCGGTAGCTTGCGTTGGATAAGAGAAGTCGAAAGTGTTTTAAAGAACAAAGATTATATTATACTGATTCATTTTGGCGTTTACATGTGTGTTTTCAGCATTTTATTTATGCTACAAATTTAAAATATTTTCTTTTATTTTTTTCCAAGTATTTAACTAGAATGGTTAGCTTCCTTTCTTGATTTTTTTTTCTGTAATCGACAATTCGCAGCTTAAAACTATGTATTTCTGATTTCTCATTAAAATATTTACACAGTTATGAATGCGAAGAAAACCCTTAAGGGGGTCTTCTCATTGGGCAACTTTTTTTTTCGATTTTTTTTTTTGCATTTATTTATAGCTTGGGATGTTGTGTATATGTCCCCAAAAGGATTTTTAGAAATTCGAAAAACTTTAGAAGATACAGCCTTTTTTGTGAAGGACCTTGGTCCTCGCAAAATGAGCTTTTTTCAAACTTCAAACGCGTTTATCTCGAAACCACGTTTTTCGAACTGGCGGCCATGATATCTCCAGTTCAACTGAACCGATTTTCATGAAACAAAGTGGAATCGACGCAGAATTGTCACCATTCTCGGGTGACGGAACAGATTTTTTTTAAAATTTTGTTTTCTATTTTTTTTTACACTAAACTACAAAAAAAAGCCCGAAATCGGATATATATATTTTTTTTTTTTGAATGGCCGCCATTTTATTTAAAAATTTTTTTAAAAAATCTGTTCCGTCACCCGAAAATGACATCTATTCTGATTATAACCCCGTTATTTTTTTCATCTCGGACCCTGAATCGTGGCCGCCAGGACGACAACTTTTTTTCCACCACCAAGTTTGAAGTCTCATTACTCTTTGAACAACCCTCGTATCGAGGCAAAAACAATTTTTTTTTATTTACTTTGAACATTTTTTAATACAATAAATAAAAAAAGTTTTCAATTATTCTTTACGTTTTCAAATAAAAATTTTTTTAAAAAGGGTCCAAAAAACGGTGTTTGAATGAGAAGACCCCCTTAACTTAATTTGTTACCTACTAATGCAAACAAATTTTATAACTATTACCAAACAAAAATATAAATAATTTTTGCAGCACAAGAACCCTGACACCGAAATCATATTATTTTTCAAAATTTTGTCAAACCAGCAAAATGAAATGTTCATTTTATACATGTTATTGCATCTATATATGTATACAAATAAAATCGTTCTTACCTTTGCTTCAGTGAAGTCGTAATCTGGCTCAAATGATGCGTTTAAAGTTGCAATTAAATAAAACAATGTTTTTCTAGAGATGGTATCACAAAGAGTTATGCCCTCATCTCCTGATTGGCTGTTGGTCCGACGAAAGTTAGGTGAAAAGTCGGTCAACGTTTGAGGAGGCGATAGTGCCTGAAGGTCATGCCCATGAGTTTCAGCCGTAAATCGCTTATACAAAACTTTTTCAGCTGCAACCATTTTACTAAAAATAAATACAAATTCAAATGGAATTTAATTAATTTTATATAGAAATACTTCTCCGAAGACAGAAATCACGCCGATTGTATCCTATATATAGGGGAGAGTGGGGTTAGGTGAACCACGGGGATAGATGGACCACAACAAATATTTCACCTTCTGTCATGATTTGGTGCGCCATCTTATGTGTGTTGCTTACTTAGTCCATATTCTAACCTCACACCCACGCACAGTCGCGTCAAACGATTGTTGTCGTTTTTATCGCTAATCGAAGTTTGTATCGCCGTTGCAGCTTCAATTGTGACCTAACGTTTTCTTAAAAAAATTTTATCGTGCTTCGCCAGTGGCATTGAACTTTATAAAATTGTATTTTATCGTAAGTAGACGCAAATTATGATATTTTCACAGATAGCTCACGCAGTTTAAATATTTCATATTTTCTTCAAATCACTTCTAATTGGCTAATGACTTGTGGGGATACATGAACCACCAGGACTTACGAGGGTACCCAAAGGCTAAAACACGAAAACAGACTCGGGGAAGAAAACGAGGAAGGAGTACCATTGCTACAGACTAACCGCAGAAAAATTGATCGCGGAAAAACGCAATCAGAAAACTCAAGAAAAAAGAAAGAATAAAAACAAAAATAAGAATAAATAGCAATATTGTAATGTTTGATTTCATGCTGTAGAGGTGCAATGTTTATATTCGAACAGAAAGAAGGCATGCACAAAGAAATAAATTACATTTTTTTTTATACAATTGCAGTTTTTGTGCTATCCTGATAGGTGGTTCAACTATCCCCACGGGTGGGGATACCTGAATCATTCAAGACAAAAATTTGGAAAGCAAATAAACTTTACAAAACAAAAGATAGTATTTTTGCATAATACTTAATATCCAAGGAATGTGGGCTCTTTTAGATTTCTATATACAGCAGACCCTAAGTCGAATTGTTCAGACATAATAATGTTAATAAAAAAAAGTGGTTCACCTATCCCCACTCTCCCCTACATACATATATATAATAATATATGTAATATAAAAACAAGAAGGGAAGCTAACTGCGGCACGCCGAAGTTTGTATACCCTTGCAGTTTGCAATTGAAGAATTGAGCCATTCTTGTTAAATTAATAAATAAAAAAAAGGAAATATATGTATATAGTTGGTTACTAAGTGCAAATTTGGAATGCTTGTTGTCATGGCAACAGAATTATTCGGCATGCTCAGGTATTTGTTGCCCTGTAGATGTCGCTGGCGCGCAGGCGCAATGACAGTTGAGCCGGTAACAGGACAAGGACAGAAGACTGTCTGTTACTGAGTGAGGTCTGTTCGTCTGTCGCAACCATTGGAAAGAGTGAGAGAGACAGCTAGATATTGTCTAGGATTGTCGTCTGAGTGAAAAGTGAGAAAAGGTGAAAGGGCCACAGGAAAAGTGGAGTGATGACAGATGCGATTTGACTGCGCAGGCGAACAGAATTCGCTGGCTCAACTTCGGTGAAATTAAATAACGGTTATCTCCGACACATACATATGTGATATAAAAACATTATGATTTTTGTTACGGATAGTCCTCGCAATTACCTTCATATTCCATATTTTAGAAAATTTGTATCTTCATTGGTACCCCTATAATTAAATAATAAATCATCTTAAAACTGCATTTGGAAGGAAAAAGCTATAGAGATATTGGCGGAATCTTAGGTCGCGCACACTCTTCAGTGCAGAGAGTCATATATAATTATATTTCGACCGGTTCTATACTTCCCAAGCTCCGAGAAGGCCGCCCATGTCGTTTAACAAAAAGGGAAAAAAGGAAAGTAGTTTTTACGATCCAAAACAATCAGTAATTGACTTTCCGAGAAGTGCAGCAAGAGGTGGTTTTCGTCGGTTTTCTAAAACCGTTTCGTACTCGACTATCCGAAGGATTATAAAAAAAATCTGGATTCATGAGCCCTACTTTTCCAAACAACAAATCGAGAGAAACGAATTCAATTTGCAAAGGACCATATTTCCAAGCTTCCAGAGTTCTGGAAGTCAGTAATTTTTTCAGATGAAAGCAAGTTTTGCATATTTGGAATAAAAGGAAAAAAGTTAATCTGGCGCAAGAGCGGAGAATCCCACGAAAAGCTGAATTTACTTCCAACTGTGAAACATGGAGGATGTGGAATAATGATATGGGGTTGTATGGCAGCTAACGGCGTTGGAAATCTGCACTTCATCGATGGTATTATGAACCATAAGATATATATTCAACTGTTAAAGGATAATTTGATCCATAGTGCAACCAAACTGGGGCTACAGAACAAATTTATCTTTCAACAAGATAACGATCCCAAGCATACAGCTCAAAATGTCAAGCTCTGGTTGCTGTATAACGTGAAAAATCAACTTAAAACACCGCCACAGTCTCCAGACCTGAATTACGCAGCGCACAATTACATCCAAAGCAATGCTAAAAACCATATTGCAGCATGAATGGGACCAAATAGCCGAAGCTGAGACTGAAAAGTTGGTTAATTCTATGCCAAAGGGTCTCGCCGAAGTCCTAAAACGGAAAGGTTATCCAATCTCTTATTAAAATGTTATTAAATAGTCAATAAATGCAACTATAATCAGCTGTACGCAAACTTTAGAAAGCATGTTATTTTAAGGGGTTATATACAGTTGTACCGCGCAAAAATATGAAGTTTTGTCGATTTTTTTTCTGACACCATAAAGAATATTTATTAAAAATGTTTTGCCGGCGTTGTTTAGTACATCTTTCTGGGTACTTATTAAAAATATATTAAATAATAAAAAAGTTATGGCCGAATTCCAAGATCGTCTTTTTTCGATGGTGACTTGCGGTGGACATCATATCCCGAGAACGGTTCATCAGAAATAAAAAATTCCAAAAAATTTCGTTAGTATATTGAATTGCCTTGTCCGTGAACGAAGGATTTGTAAAAATGTTGATTTAAAAAACATGACGGTTTTAACAAAAAATGACCTCTTTAAGGGGTAAAATTTTCGATTTGTATGCTCTAAAAAAGGAAAAATTGAAAATCCTTCGTTCACGGACTAGTTTTTCTTATAATAAATAAGTGGTCAAAATTTGGTGTTGATCGGATTAATAGTTTTTTAGTAATCGTGTCCACCGCAAAGGTAATTTCGAAAAAACAAGATTCTGAGATAATCGCGTTTAAAGTTTCAAGTTTGTTCCGGCCGATGTGCAGGTAGTGCGCTATAAATAGCTACAACTTCGGTTCTAATGCTCCGATCGTTATGAATTTTTGTGAGAGTATTCTCAACAGTATATACTTTAAGAATATGCAATAAAAAAATCGATTTTTTCGACTATCACAACTGTATATAACCCCTTAAAAGGTTTTGGCGAAATACGAATTATAAAGGTACCAAAGAAGATAAAAATTTTTTAAAATATGGAATATAAAGGTAATTGCTTGGACTATCCGTAACAAAAATCATAATGTTTTTATATCACGTCTAGACTTAGATTTTACCTGTCAAAATGACAAGTTTAACAAGAAAGGAAGCTAACTTCGGCACGCCGAAGTTTGTATACCCTTGCAGATTGGTTTTTAATTTTATATTAAAAATTTAATTGCTGAAAACACATACAAAACCGAGTTTTTAACATTTTAACACATTTTACTTTTGACAGCTACAGTTGTATATACCTGCTTTACATTTTCTCTACATCTACCGATCGGTTTATATGGCAGCTATATGATATAGTTGTCCGATTTTCATAAAATTTATACCTAAATTCTGAAATAATAACAAAAGCGCATATCTCAGAGTAAATGAAAATACGTTAAAAAACAAGAAAGGAAGCTAACTTCGGCACGCCGAAGTTTGTATACCCTTGCAGATTGGTTTTGATATTTATATTATAGATGCAAATGCTGAAAACACTCACAAAACAGAGGTTCATTACATTTTACCTATACTTATTATGTTTACAGTTTGACAGTTACAGTTTTACATTCCCAGCTTTACATATTTTATACATTTTCCGACCGCTTCTATGCAGCTATATGATATAGTTGTCCGATTTTTATAAAATTGATACCAAAATTCTAGAATAAAACATACGTTGAAAAACAACGAAGCTATAATTTTTTTCCTATTTATTTCTCGATCGTTCCTATGGCAGCTATATCATATAGTCGTCCGATTTTCATAAAATTTTTACCGAAATTCTGAAATAATATAAAATGGCCATATCTAAAAAATGATGCAAAAATGTTTAAAAACAGAAAAGTATTAATTTTTTTCTAAAAATATATCGAACATTTGTATGGCAGCTATATGATATAGTCGTCCGATCTGGCCCGTTTCGACATATATAGCAGTGAGGGACTGAGGGACTAGTTTGCGTAGAAACGGACAGGTGGACAGACGGACAGAAGGACAGACGGACATTGCTAGATCGACTCGGCTGTTGATGCTGATCAAGAATATATATACTTTAGAGGGTCGGAAACGTCTCCTTCACTACGTTGCAAACTTCTGACTGAAATTATAATACCCTGCAAGGGTATAACAACGAAGTTATAATTTTTTTCCTATTAATTTCCGATCGTTCCTATGGCAGCGATTTTCATAAAATTTTTACCAAAATTTTGAAATAATATAAAATGGCTGTCTTAAAAATGATGCGAAAATATTAAAAAACAGGCAAGTTATAATTTTTTTTTCTAAAAATTTATCGAACATTTGTATGGCAGCTATGTATATGATATAGTCGTCCGATCCGGCCCGTTCCGACATATATAGCAGTGAGAGTATATAGAAGACTATATGCAAAGTTTCATTCAGATAGCTTTAAAACTGAGGGACTAGTTTGCGTAGAAACGGACAGACGGACGGACGGACAGACAGACATGGCTAGATCGACTCTGCTGTTGATGCTGATCAAGAATATATATACTTTATAGGGTCGGAAAGGTCTCCTTCACTGCGTTTCAAACTTCTGACTGAAATTATAATACCCTGCAAGGGTATACAAATATTTGCCCTGTACGCAAAGATATGACGATGAGTTTATGTACACAGGCACATAGACATTACATTTATACTTACATATACACTCAACCGCATATCTCTGCGTACACCCCATAAAAATTTCAAATTCAAACTTCAAACCCACACCTTTCGGCCATTTTTCAACATTTTAACCAACTTTTTTTTCGTAACATAACTTTATTTAATTGCCTTTAATTACGTATTTTTTTTAGAATTTTTTAACCATGTCTTATGATTTAATTTTAATTTTAAACTTAACGCTATGAAAAAGTGTACACGCAAAAGTCTGCGTACAGCTAACTAAAAACTACTTAAAGCCTATTATTTACAACTTTTTATATTTAGTAAGGTATCCATTTGCCTTTAGCACCTCCGTAAGGCGCCTCGGCATGGAATCCATTAGTTTTTTTGACTCCTCGGCTGTAATTTTGCCCCATTCCTCCACGATGACATCCTTGAGCATTTTTTAGATGTTATGGTGTGTTTCCGGATCCTTTTCTATATTAGATCCCATAAATGTTCATTTGGGTTGAGGTCAGGACTCCTGTGGAGGTGTTCGCAGCAAATTTTTAGCATTATATAGAAGCCAAAGCTTCGTATAATGCGCCGTGTGCTTGGGATCGTTGTCTTGATGGAACCAATATTCAACCTACACCATAATGCCGCTCACTCCATGCTTTACCGGGCCCACTAAATTTTTCTTTTTAAAGGCTTCTCCGGTTTTTCGCCAAGTTTAAAACTTTTCCCTTTATTCCGAAAATGCAAAAATTGCTTTCATCGGAAAATATGACCAAAAAACGGAATGTTTTAGTGTGGCGAAAAACCGGAGAAGCCTTTAAAAAGAAAAATTTAGTGGTAAAGCATGGAGTGAGCGGCATTATGGTGTAGGGGTGTATGGCAGCGAGCGGCGTGGAAAATTTGACTTTTTTCGAGTGAATTATGGACCAAGGAGCCTATATCAACATTTTAAAGAAAAAATTTTCAAAAAAGTTCTGAAAATTTGGGGCTAAAACATGAATATTGGTTCCATCAAGACAACGATCCCAAGCACACGGCGCATTATACGAAGCTTTGGCTTCTATATAATGCTAAAAATTTGCTGCGAACACCTCCACAGGAGTCCTGACCTCAACCCAAATGAACATTTATGGGATCTAATATAGAAAAGGATCCGGAAACACACCATAACATCTAAAAAATGCTCAAGGATGTCATCGTGGAGGAATGGGGCAAAATTACAGCCGAGGAGTCAAAAAAACTGATGGATTCCATGCCGAGGCGCCTTACGGAGGTGCTAAAGGCAAATGGATACCTTACTAAATATAAAAAGTTGTAAATAATAGGCTTTAAGTAGTTTTTAGTTAGCTGTACGCAGACTTTTGCGTGTACACTTTTTCATAGCGTTAAGTTTAAAATTAAAATTAAATCATAAGACATGGTTAAAAAATTCTAAAAAAAATACGTAATTGAAGGCAATTAAATAAAGTTATGTTACGAAAAAAAAAGTTGGTTAAAATGTTGAAAAATGGCCGAACGGTGTGTGTTTGAAGTTTGAATTTGAAATTTTTATGGGGTGTACGCAGAGATATGCGGTTGAGTGTACATAAATATGTACAGCTGTGTTCACTGAAATAGCAGTGCGACAGAGGAACAACTTCAAAACGTTTTTTTGTACACATTCCTTTTTGCTAGCTGATCTATTGCACATTTTTTTTGTAAAATAGAACATAAAGATAAGAATCGAGAAAAAAATTCCGTTAGATTTGCTCTATTTTTATGTTTTATTGATATTTTTTCACATATGCAGCTCGTTTTGGCCGATCACTGAAATAGCAGTATTTAATTTTCTTTCGCAGAAAGTGCCGAAATTTCTTTTAATTTTGTAAAAAATGAGTTTAATTACGGTCGTTATTATAGTTTATACTATAATACACCTTTACAAAGCAAAAAAAATTATTTTAGTGGGCGCAGGACCTCACTGCTCCATGAGAGAAAGGTATCAGATAACTTAGCCTAGAAAGAAGGGCAAAACATGTAAAGAGACTCCAAATCTTTCAAATTGTTATTTTAGAATAGTTTATAAAATCATAAAATATGAACCGAACCCAAAAAAACCGAGGTACGATTCGCAAAAACCACAGTTGTACAGGCTCGACGCGTACTTCGCTTCAGCAAAGCTCGTCCTTTTTCATCCTCTAGGGATATATGAGCAGGAATTGGCATGGGAATCAGTCATGGGACCATTCGCCGGGGACTTATTGAATAAATTTTAGATTCGCGAAGTCCATGGAAAATGTCACTGCTTGGTTACAGGCATATCAAGGCCAGATTGGAGTTCGCCAATAGCCACTTGAACTGCCACTATTCAAATGGCGTAATATCCTTTGGACAAATGACTCCAAACTGGTTTTATTTGGTGGAATAGGACAAGACAATATGTCCGTCGACCTCCAAATACATAGTACCCCCCAAACCATACGCTGAAGACGCTGGCCTAAAAATCATGGTATGGGTATACATTTCATACAACGATGTTGGTCCCGTATATATGATCTGTCGGATCAAAGACCATTATGTTTATGTCCAAATATAAAAACTGTCTTGCAGCCGTATCCTGAGGAAAAAATGCCATTAATTTGGACATTTCAACAGTACAGTGACCCTAATCATACCATCAAGGTGGCCAAGGAGTGGGTTCTTAATGAAAAAGTGGATGCAATGCCATGGCCTGCACAGTCCCCGGATATAAATCCGATCGAAAACTTATGGGGGACATAAAGGGCTACGTATTAAAGAAGTTTCCGACTTCTAAGCCGCAGCTTTGGCGATTTGTGCAGGAGGAATGAGACCATAATCCCCTCAAGCGTTGCTAAGACTTGGTGGACTCCTTGCCACCCAGGAATGAGGCTATGATAGCTTCTAAAGGCTATTTAACAAAATATTAGATCATAGTCAATTAGAATTTAAGAAGAAATAGGTTTCTTATACGATATTTTTAAATTTATGAAGAATTTTAGTTTTTCACTGCTATTTCAATGATCGGCATAATATAGACCTTTTTTGTTGTTATTAGCTATATCTTCTAAAAGGTTTATGTTACCTAAATTAAATGATTGTGGTATTGTTAATAATTAAATACACTAAGCCTTTATGAAAAAAATTTTTATGAAAATAGTGTTTGTAATAGTATTTTCCAATCTTAAACGTGCAGGTCGTGGGGCACTGCTATTTCAGTGAACACAGCTGTACATAGATTTAATCAAAAATCGTTTATAAATTTTTGCATTATTGTTAAAAATTACACTTACCATGAATAGCTTTCAATACGTCCGAAGATTGTGATACCGCTTGTTTGTATAGAAAGAGCATTGTTGATTGCCTCGAAACGTGAGCTTTCTAATAACTTCATTTTATATTGAATAATTTAATAGTTTTACAAAAATACAGGTCCAAGCATATAAAACATACAACTTTTTTTTTTATTATTATGACTTTCTTGTCTTTTGATTATTAAAAATAAAACGATAACTTTTTTTAATTTTTCTTTAGAGGTCTTCTGTCTTTCGGTAGCTTAATAATTCCCGCTGAATTATTTAACATAAAGTGTATGGAACACAGAGGTGCTATAATGTAAGTCATTTTTGCTTGTTTAAGCATGGTTATCAGATTTGCAAAAACTTTCTGAACAACTTCAAATCTTTTATCAACTATTTTTCCGATATGTACGATGATGTGCGAATCTCCGCAACTCCTTGACATGACACTTCAATGTCAATAAATCCGTGGTTGTAATAGCTCAAATGTGTTTTCTGTATAGAAAAACATGGGTATATTATTATTGGGTATTTTCGTATTATTATTATACAATTTCACAGCACGAAACATTAAAAATAAACAAACATACATTTGTACATACCAACGTATGTCAACATGTATGAATGTGTACATAAAAAATGTATTGGTCATTTTCGAATACACATACGCTTGTATGTATGTATGCATATACATATGTATGTATGTATGTATGTATGTATGTATATTAATTAAAACGTATATACGTATTTACATATATATACTGTCGGATTTAGTGCTTAATTCATTAATAATAAACCATTCTAGCAAACTGAATTATATTTTATAAAAAAAAAAAACCAAGGATGGAATGTAAATACCAACAAGCTTCTACCACACATAAAATTTTCTTAAATTCTATACGCAACAATGCATAGCAATCGATCTGTTTCAGATGTGAACAGCTTAAGTTTTTATTTAGGGTATTCCATATACGACTTTATGACTGAAAATATCGGTCAATTTCGTTTCTTTTTTATAGGCTCTTCCCACACACCGTCAAAGCGCATCCACCGTCCGTTGAACTAACTGCCGTTCCGAATTTTCTCAAATGGACCGCGGTTAGAACGCATTAAAATCTAACCACGGTTTGTTTGGCAATAGTTAGGCGATAGTTTTTCGGTGAAACTCTGATTTCTTCTTCTTAACAGTGAAAATTTGACCAACACTACGAAAGTGTATACACACTTGGCGAGGAACAAATGAAATATAGAATTTAAAATGTGCCGCCAAAGCTACAAGCATGCCCAAAATAGTTTCTTTTTTTATTTTTTTTTTGTATATTCTTCTGCCAAAGTGTCCCCAATTGCTACCATTTAATATAAAACGCCTACCTCTACTTTAATTAAAGTTTTGGGAAGCCTATACCACCTATTCATACTCTTCGAGGAATTTGCTCTTTGTTAGAGAAAAATCATTCGAAAAACTAAAATTCTTTGTCATTTAATTCATTTAAATTTGGTGCGGATAAATTCTGACGCAATCTGTGCTTTTGCGGTTGTACAACATCCAAAATAGTTGGTAAATGCTCCATTTCAAATTTGCAACTGCCAATTCGACAGTCTTTGTTTACGTTTTCATGAGCCACAGCTGATCGATCAGCTGTTCGGATGGTGAATGTGCTTTGACGGTGTGTGGGAACAAGAGTTTCACATTTGTGAAAAATCCCAAACGTTCCTCACAAATGTGCTGTGTGGGAAGACAGTATTAGTTTTTCTAATGATTTTTCTCTAACAAAGAGCAAATTCCCCGAAGAGTGTCTATAGGTGGTATAGGCATCCAACATTTTTAAATTAAGGCAGGCGGTTTATATTAAATAGTAACAATTGGGGACATATTGGGGCAAGAATATACAGAAAAAACGCCAACAACTATATTGGGCATGCTTGTAGCTTTGGCGCCACATTTTAAATTCCATTTCTCATTTGTTCCTCGCCAAGTGTGTATACACTTTCGTAGTGATAATCAAATTTTCAGAGTTGCACCAGTTTTTCGGTCGCCTAACTATCGCCAAACAAACCGTGGTTAGATTTTAATGTGTTCTAACGGCGCACATTGGGCCAGCGAGCCGATAGTTCGACGAAAATTAAAGTTTTAAAGCTAGGTTCTTCAAATTTGGTACATATATTAGTGTCGATTCACATAAAAACATATATAAGTTTCAGACCGATCAGACCACGCATTCCCTAGCCGCCCATATATGATAGGTTTCCTCTTATTGATATTTTTACGGTAATAAATAAATTAAATTCAACAAATGTTTTATATTCATTTTTTTAACACTTAACCTTAATATTAATAAGTAAAAAATAACAATGCATTTAAAATGAATATAAATAAGTATTTTTCATTTTAAAATGTTCCTAACAGTCGTCTTCTACGTCAAGTTCTATTGAAAACGGATTTTCAGAGTCAGAATCTAAATCACTATCACTATTGCTCCGTGCTTAAGTCGAGTTCTATCAGTTCATCATAAATCCAACTCGTTACGGCAGATGCTCTATGATTGTTTTCTATATAGACATCAAACAGTTGCTCATATGTGATCTCAAACACAGCTACAATATGTCGAATTTATATATATAGGGGCAAAAAGATGCAAAAAAGCTTAATAAAACTAGTTTATATACACTTTGCACTTTAATGGCACATAGTTACTTTTTGGCACAAGTTGGCACAAAATTAGTTATAGTCTACAACAGATGGGTTACCAGGTTAGCTTTTTTCTACTTTTGGACAACACAAATAAACGCACACAAAGAACACATTAACAAACATGAACAAAATCTTTTTTAATTCGAATATTCTACATACCTTTCCCTTTCTTTTCCATAATTTTAGTGAAAATAGCTTAAAGCACAACAATTTTGTCGCACTCGCAAGTAAACAACATCTTTCTCGCGTTTTTGAGTTTCGTACGCACGCAATCAAAGAGTTGACTTTGAAGGGCTGCCAAAATTTCCGGGATGCATCAAAACAATTAAAATCTTTTGATTACTTTTAGTCAAAGTATATACTTTTCAAATTTTATTATTAAAATAGGTTTACTTTCTATGAAAAATTTGAATTTTCGTCGATATATCGGTTCGCTGGCCCAATGTGCGGCGGTCCATTTGAGAAAATTCGGAACGGCAAAACCTTATGGACCATTTGTTCAACGGGCGGTGAACGCGCTTTGACGGTGTGTGGGAAGACCCTATAAATGCTCCATTTCAAATTTGCAACTGCCAATTCGACAGTCTTTGTTTACGTTTTCATGAGCCTGATCGATCAGCTGTTCGGATGCGCTTTAACGCAGCTCTGTGGGAACAAGAGTTTCACTTTTTTTTAAAATCCCAAGCGTACCTCACAAACGCGCTGTGTGGTAAGACAGTATTATACGGTTTTCCCACTCAGTGCATTTGTGTGGAACAGTTGGAATTTTTCCCAAATGTGAAACTCGTGTTCCCACAGAGCTTTGCATCTGCATCCTCATCCAACTACAGCTGCTCCTTCCAAAACAAAGATGGTTAAAGCGGCCGATGTGGGAGTAAAATGAATAGCTTATCAACTATTTAGGCTGTTTACGACCTGCTTTTTCCGATGTGGCAAGGCCGGCTAGCTAGTCGTCTAGGGAAGGGATAGTTTCCTATCTGCCCACAGGTCGAGCCATAAGTCCCAGCTGACCCAAAATCCACAACAAAATAACAAGACACAAAATAAAGGTAAGCAAATCTCGGACTAAAACAATAACTAAATGCACAATTAATGTTTTCTCTCTTTCTCCCGGACGCAGGCTTGGGGCATGGAATAACCTCTGGACGCTCCCTCCCTTCTTGAGGTCCGGAACATCTTTGACGGATCCCCATTTGGCAAGCAATTGGCTCAACCTGTCATCTCTTGCCCGGCTCTTTGTTAGAGAAAAATCATTAGATAAACTAAAATTCTTTGTCATTTAATTCATTTAAGGAGGCGTCAGGAGGCGTCATCAAGCGCGCCATCCATATGTTGGCATTGCTGCCAATAAACAGCGCTCCAAATGAGGAGGTTAAAGCGCCGGAGGCCTTCAACGGGGCCGGAATGTTGGAGCAGTAGATTATTAGTATATTATTGTTGAAATTTACATGAAGAAAAATAGAACTAAAACGTAAACAATGTAAAACAAAAAGCTTATCGCTTGCACTCAGCCGAGCTGAATAGCCGAAACGTATAGCTTTCATAGCGAGGCAATTCGGACGCTGCTTGTGTAAAGAGAGTAGCCGATCAACCTTTGGAACTGCTGGCTGCGCCAGCGCAATAAAACTTTTTCGTGCGACTGCAGTTCTTCTCGTCTTCTTTTCTTTGCCTTCGAGTGGAAATTCCCCAGCTAGGCCGCAAGTTGCTAGTCGCCTTTTTTATTCGAATTTTTTGTCCGGAAAACCCTCACGGATTTACATTTTGGCGCCCGAACAGGGACTACGACTAGCTTTTCGATTTCGCGTCGGAAAAACTAACAAAAATAATGCCTTTTCGTCGTCTCGGCACTTGTTCCGTTTTTTTTATATATTTGGCGAAAAATCCTAGCTGGCGGAACTCGGCAAATCTTGGATCGGATTGGATCAAATTTTGGAAAAAAGGAAAGTTCTGGAAATCATGCCCAACGATCAGGTATTCAGTGCCAAAAATTAAAAACTTGGAAGCACTCCACGTTACATGTGTTTGTGTGCAATTATCTGGCTGTAATTCTTGGCACTTTGTGTATTGGAAAACCAATTAAAACCCACATATAAAACCTCCAAATAAACAAATAAAAAGTGAACAACCTTTAATAATTTTTGGAATTAAATTGTGAGAAAATTGATGTGCGTGCGGTACAGTTAAATACATACATATCTACATACTTATATACCAGCGTTTTGCCGCCAAGTTCATATCCCTTTCGTGCAGTGGCAGAGCAGTTATTTTTGAGCTATATACTCTGGTCAGTGGCTTTCAAACCGTACATAGTGGCATATTGGTTAATTTCGACATCATATACTCTGTCAGTGGTTTTCAAACCGTGTTCAAAGTAAAATTCCTGCAAAATTCGGCAGTGAAATTAAATTCTGCACATATTATTATATGTACATATGTATGTATTTACGTGCGACATTAATTGTGATACAGTTTCTGGTTTTGATTTCGGCGTTGGTTTTTGGCATTATTAACCCTTATATAACCCAAATAAAATTTGGTGTGCTTGTGAATTTATATTAATAAAATTTAATATTGGGGTATCGGCAAAATTGTATCAAGTGAATAATAATTACGGAATCATTTGCGACAGTGATATATTAAAACTTAGTGCCAATCATTTACATTTGGAGCATTTTTATTAATTTTCAATTAATTTCAAAATGGCTGAAAGAGATTCAGCTGCAAATGCAAAACTTTTGATGGCTATGCAGAAACACGATATGGTTCTGAGTGACATTGAGCGAATGAAAAAGGCATGTGAGGAAAGAACTATTTCATTCGACAAATTTCAAATGGAATATCGAATGCAACTTCTCGAATCGTACTGTAAAAAACTAATGGATATCCAGGCAGACATTGATATATACCCAGAAAATGATCTGAGAGCGTCGGTTGAGGATGCATGTATTATTACAAAGGCATTGTATCGCTCAGCAATGGTAGAAGTTGAACCTTAGAGAATTAGTCAAGGGGATTTCAGTGGTTATCGTCATTCATCGCAATTACCAAAAATGAATCTGCCGAAGTTTAGTAGAAAACATTCAGACTACAAAAATTTTATAAGTCTATTCGAGAGTTTAGTTCATAACGATCCATCCCTTACAAAGGTAGAAAAGTTCAACCATTTGCTTACATGTCTAACAGGTGATGCATTAGGAACTGTAAAGGCGTTTCAAATTTCCGAGTT